TGAAATCTGAAATGTCCATGGTGTTGATTCATAATGTGCTCTGGCACAATCACAGGCATCCGTAAAGCCGCTCTGCGCTATGAGCTGCACCATTTTTAAATGATGGAGGGTGGCACCGGGGGTGTCAGGAGATTATTTTAGTGATTTTTAAGTGAGTGGTAAAATGAAGAAGAAGATTTGGGTAAATGCTGTTTTTCTTTTCTAATGAATGCCACAATGTGATCAAAATCAAGTCTGTGTTTCCTGTTTGTAAGATGAGCTGTAGCTGATAAATGTTTTATTAAAATATTTATCTCGCTGTGGTTGAAAAGTTCGAAATCAGAGCCAACAAGTTTTATCACCTTGTGCTGGTCATTATTTAACCACCGACCTACAATATATAAAACAATAAACGGCTAGCAGACAGATGTTAGATTATTAGTGTTGGTTTCATCTGTATGTATCATATTAGCTGATCAGCGGTGACATAAAGAAACAGGAAGTCAAACACCACATTGTGGTAAAATTTGCCTCGGCCGTCACATCATGTATCGTGCTTCAAACCCGTTTTCTGTATTTTGAATTCTCTGCTCTCATTTCATGCAGTTCAGAGAGAGAGCAGAGATCCTCTTACACAAAGCTGCGATGGGGGTTATTGTTAGTACAGCGATTCCTCTAAAACAGATGAGACAAACACTGGTGTGATCGTCTCTGCTGCTGTGACATCCAGTTAAATTACTTTCCTTCTGCAGTTAGTTTGCTTCTTTAAGAAACATCAACACTGTGTCCCAAGACAATGTAATGTTCTGCAGTTAAATATCGTCTCACCCTGAGGAATGCAACCCTGTCTTATTGCAGTTCTTGTAATTACACACTCTTTCCCCTTTAGGGTCGACTCAGAAAGGAAGACAGTTTTTCTGTTTTTACAAAGGAAACTCTGCCTGTTCTTAGGCTGCAAACCACAGACCAGACTGACCTGGTTGATAACAGGAACAGAAATGAAGATCTAACACTGCAGTTTATAGAATGAATATCAATATTTGACTATTTGGTGTTAAACACAGGACTTTGATAGCTTCTGATACCTTATCGACTGCATTATTAAACCACAAAAATATTGTCTTTAGTTACAGTTCTTTAATAGTCATCGTTTCAGCTTTTAGCACTTAGCACACCCCGGTGATGACTCATTTCTGGGCACTAAACCACGACCTTCTCGTTTAGACAAAGCGCAAACGCATTTCCCACGTTAAGAGAAGAAACTCGCTGTGGCTACGGACTTCCTCTTTTCTTTTTCTGCACTATTAACATCACAGCTTCTGAAAGTTTCAGCTTCTGAACTACCTTAGAAACACATTTCACTCGATGTTTTTGTTTTTACTGTATCACAAAG